ATCGCGCTTGTCTGGTTCCTGCTGCTTGCCCCGTCCATTCATATCACGAAGGAAGAAGTGCAGCAACCGGTGGTGGTGGTGCTCCAGGATGAATCGGCCTCCATACCGGCTTCCCTGAAAGGTGATACCGCCACTTACCGCGACCAGATGAACCAGCTGACCCGGAAGCTGCAGGAAAAATACCGCGTTATTCATTGGGGATTTGGCGCGGCCATCCTGCGCGACAGCCTTTTTGGTTACCGCCAGCCAGCCACCGATATTTCGGCTGCTTTATCAAGGGTACAGGAATTTTACGGACAACAGAATCTCGGTGCCGTGATCATGGCTACCGATGGGCGCTTCAACCAAGGCACGCATCCCTTGTACCAGGAGCTCTCCCTACGCGCTCCTTTATATACAGTAGCCATTGGCGATACCGCACTGCCTAAAGACCTGCGCATTGCCCAGGTTTATGCCAACCGTACCATCGCCGTAAATACCCAGTTTGAGATCCGTGCCGATATCATTGCGACCCGCAGTAATGGTACCACCGGTAATATACAATTGCTGGAAGGCAGCAGCACGCTCCAAACCATCCCCCTGTCCATAACCAGCGACCGGTTTGATAAATCGGTTGCCTTTACCGTGAAGGCCAGTACACCGGGACTACACCATTATACCATCCAATTACCGGTTGCCGGAGGAGAATCCAATACGGCCAATAACCGGAAGGAAGTATTTGTGGAGGTAGTGGAGGAAAAGAAAAAAGTGCTCATACTGGCAGCAGCTCCCCACCCGGATGTCAATGCGATCCAGCAGGCGCTGAATAGCCTGGAAACTTACCAGGTGACCGTTAGTATGGCTGCAACCATGCCTTCTTTTAACGATTACCAGGTCATTATCTTACATGGCCTTCCGGCCAATGGTATCAACCTGCCGCCAACCGGCAACAAACCCGTATGGTATATTGTATCCGCCACCACCGATAGCCGGTTAAGCGCCGGCATTGCCACGATGGGCATCAATGCGGCGGCACAGCAAAATATCTATGCCGGTGTCAATCCTGCTTTTTCGGCCTTTACACTGCCGGCACGCATGGGTGCGGTGATGGATAAAATGCCGCCGTTAAGCGTACCGGCCGGCAATGTGCAGCCGGG